TCTCGGGAGCGCTCCTGGAAGCGTCTAGAGCCGTGTTGGAGGCTCCCCGAAACCTCTACCACGTGCTTCGGCGACATGGGTCGAAGATGGGAACCATTCCTGGTGCTGAAACATCACCACGGTCCGTCCAGAGCCGCTCGGGAGACGCCCCGGAGCGGTTCCGGAGAGGCCCGGGGGGGGGGTCCCCCCATGGCGAGTCGAGGCAGCTGGCCAGAGGCCCCCGGCCCCGTACCCCGACAGATATATATATATATATATATATATATATATATATATATACATATATATGTATACATATATATATACATATATATATATATATTCGGCGAGGAATGGCAGTCTCAGGATTATCCCAACGAAATCGAATTCATGAATTCATACACGCACTCGTCCAGTCTCAGGATTATCCCAACGAAATCGAATTCATGAATTCATGCACGCACTCGTCCAGTGACCTTGCTACCAGAACTGCGAGCAAGAGTCACAGCCAAATGATGGTTATGCCCAGCTCGCTGCGCAGACCAGCGTAACTCGCGGTCAACGTCATCGAGCTTCGCAACCTCGGCATCAGAGAGGCGAGGGCGGCGCAACATGATCCATTCCCGGCACTTCAGACGCCTCGAATCGGAGACGCGGGCAATCAGTCGCAATCGCTGGACAAAGTCTGTGCCGCAGGCGGGGCACGTCGACCCAGTCAAATAGCAGCGGATCTGAAGCCTAACTCCGTGCTTGGCACGCTGATGGCTCTGCAGGCCCCGGGCTGAAGTGAATGCGGCACCACAGTGGCATACATGGGACTCGCGTCCTGGAATGGGGTCCGGTGCTGCGCTTGCGTCGCATACCGAATCGCAAAAGAAAATGCGATCCACCAGCACCTTCCAGGAGCGCTCGTCCTGCATCAGGTGCATCCATGCCTTATGATCCTCAGTCAGAGCAGGGAAGCTGTCAGGGAGGAGGGGCCGAAGGAAACCAGCATCGTGATCTAAGGCTTGGATCCACCTCAATTTGTGCCCTCGGGGTCTCGCACTGAGCAACGCGAGCAAAGACAAAGGCCTAACGCGGCGCAGCCGGGCACAATACTTCAAGCGAAGGCAGGCGACCAGACATTCAATCGCTGGTTGACACAATGCCTCGCGCACCTCACGATCGGTATGCTCCACATGCTGAAAGCGAGGCTCGTCGAAAATACGACGAAGCATCGTCATGTACACACGATACAGCCGCTTCAAATGCCGAGCCGACGGCACTAGCCCATGCACCCCGAACATCAGCTTGGACAAAAGCAAACAATGCATGACATATATCTTGTGCGGGAGCTCAACATATGGGGGACCAAAGACTTTGTACGACAACGGCGCATACGCAGCAAGAGTTTGGGCTGCCTTCGCATTCGCATCAGCTATGGCACCAGCCCTGAGGGAGGTGGCAGTACCAAGGTGCTTATAAGAACTCACAACGCGGATACGTACATTCCTTCCCGGGAGTTGCACACTGAGCTGGCCACTCGTATCACGGCGAGCCTCTCTACAGGCAGTGGCCTTAGGACCGCGATACTCCAAAAGGGCCTCAGTCTTTCCGGGGGAAGCGTTGAGCTGCAAATGCAACCAGTCTCCGAGGATGAGGATTGCAGCTCCCTGTTCCAGTTGCAGCTTCCAGTTTCCATCGCTATAGTCCTGCTCTCTGCTTCCTTACTAATTGTTGCTGTCCGCGCGAAGGCTGGGATCCCCAAGCAAGTTGTTTTTGTTTTCACCACGTCCTGGGAGGGTTCTCAGAAGTCGTGTGGGGGGGGGGGCGTGGGACACGTAAAGATACCTGATGTTCGCGTCCCCGAGGCCATAATCCCTAGTAAGTTACTCCATAATCGCGCCCCCGAGGCCATAAGCAATTGCAAGATATACCATATTCGCGTCCCCGAAGCCAGAATCCAATATAAATTACAAAATGCTTGCATCCCCGAAGTCATAAACAATTGTAAGTTACATTGTATTTGCGTCCCCGACGCCACAAACTCCTTCAAATTACACCAGATTCGCGCCCCCGGGGCCATAAAACGTCATAGATTATGCAAAAGACGCGCCCTCGAGGCCATAAACATTCTTGTGAATTACACGATAGTTGCGTCCCCGAGGCCACAAACCCTCATAATGTATGCCATGTTCACGTCCCCGAAACCCGACACCATCGTACATTACACAATACTCGCGCCACCGAAGCCATTAACCCTCGTAAATTAATATTGGCCCTCGCGTGAAGTCCCGACATTGCTTCACGTCAGCGTCCAGACCCAACACAGCTCTGGCAAGTCCGCCCCATTCTAACAGAGGGGGGCCGGCGGCATAGGGGCAAAGCCCTCACGGATATATATATATATATATATATATACATACATACATACATACATACACACATACATACATACATACATACATACATACATACATAAATATGTATACATATATACATATATATATAGATATACAAATGTATACAAACATACATACATATCTATATATATATATACATGCATATATATACATGTATGTGTACATATACATACACATATAGACATATGTTCACACTCGAAGTTGCTGGCAGGAGGCTTACTGCGAGGCCTGGTACGAAACCTGCAAAAATCAAATTTAACCCCTCAACTACAAGCGGGCTCAGAATGGAAGGCCAAGAACGAGTCGGCATTGAAAACCTCCGAGGACACTCTAGAACCTCCCTGGAGACCCTTAAACTCCTCCTCATCCTCCACCATGTCCACCTCATCCTCATCCTCCTCTTCTGCGGCCGTCGTCCTCCTCCGTTCCCTCCTCATCCCCCCCTCCTCGTTTCCCGCCTCCTGCTATTTCTGCTCTCCTCCTTCTCCTCCTCCTCCTCCTCCTCCTCCTCCTCCTCCTCCTCCTCCTCCGTTCCGTTTTCCTCCTCCTCCTCTTCCACACTACACAATATGAATACTACTTTCCTCTCTCCCCTGATGACGTCCGGACGATGTCCAACCCCCCTCCGCGTAGTGTTTTTTACACATTGGATTCCTGGGACATGCGTTCCCGCTTGACTTGCACCCGCTGAAGCGCTGACCCCATTTCTGCGCCTCTGGTTGTTCCAAATCGTGCTCCCGCTGCAGCGCGGGCGTTTTCGGTCCTTCCAGATACGCCCCAAAATGTAACGAGTACCCCTCCCCCCCTCCGAAAAAAAACATCGGAAGTGATTACACATTCGACGTCGATTCGTTGATTTTGGGCCCCCAGAAGTCCCTTTGGGGCGTCGTCGCTTTCAGGAAGCATCAAGCGGGAGCCCCGTCTCTGCTGTGAGAAGGCGATGTTGAAAGCAGAGCCAGCGGGTGCTCTCCATCAGCCCCGCCTTGTGTGGAGCTTTTCGGGGAGCGCAAGGAGCTAAACATGGAGCCACGACTCCAGACCAGCCCAGACCTCTCGAAGACGATCCACTTATCCTCCAAGGAACCCGGCGCCATGCCATGACATCATCGCGCACCCTCTCGCGATCACTGCCCTGCTCGAAATCCGACTGTGCAAATAGAAAAGATATCTACGCCATGGTAGGGGATGTGAGGGAGGGGTCGGACGTCAGATATGACGCGAGCGCGCCTAGCTTGTCGTCATCCCCCTCCTCCTACTCCTCCTCCTCCTCCTCCTCATCCTTCTCCTCCTCCTCATCCTCCTTCTCCTCGTCCTCCTCCTCTTCCTCCTCCTCGTCCTCCTCCTCCTCCTCCTCATCATCATCATCATCAGCAGCATCATCATAAGCATCAGCATCAGCATCAGCATCATCATCATCAGCATCATCATCAGCATCAGCATCATCATCATACTCAGCATCATATTCGTCATCTTCGTCATCATCATCACCACCATCACCATCATCATCAGCAGCATCATCATCATTAACCGCCTCCTCCTCCTCATCATCATCAGCAGCACCACCATCATCATCATCATCATCATCCTACTCCTCCTCCTCCTAAGAGGATCCGGCTATGGATTCCTCATCCCCCCTCCATCAATCGTCCTCCTCCTCCTCCTCATCATCATCAGCAGCAGCATCACAACCACCACCACCACCATCATCATCATCAGCAGCAGCTGCAGTTGCACAATCGTCATCCTCATGACCATCACCAGCATCGCCATCTTCAGCACCATCATCAGCATCATTATTGCCACCACCACCAACATTATCAGCAGCAGCATCAGCATCGTCATCATCATCATCATCATCATCATCATCAGCAGCAGCATCGTCAGCATCATCCTCATCATCATCACCATCGTCCAACTAATAAACAACATCATCATCATCGTCGTCGTCAGCATCATCATCATCGCCATCAGCATTACCAGTACCATCGTGATAATCCTCACCGTCAACATCATCAAGGTAATTATCCTCATAGTCGTCGCCATCATTATCATGATCATCATCAGCAGCAGCATCATCAAATCATCATCATCGTTATCGCCTGTCTCCGTCTTTGTCATCGCCATCATTATCATCACCATCATCATCATCGCCAGCATCATCATCAGCAGCACCATCGTGATTCGCAGCAGCAGCATCGTCATCCTAATAGTTACGATCCTGATCATCAGCAGCAGCAGCGTCATCATCATCATCATCATCATCATCATCATCATCATCATCATCATCATCATCATCATCATCATCATCATCATCGTCATCATCATCCGCCCCCCTACCTGTCCGCCATTCCCATCTGCGCCCGAACCGCCCCCAGCACTCCCACGCGCCCCCTGACAGCCGACGACGCGAAAGAAGCATGCAACATCGAAAGAAGAATCACGTCTGCGTCATTTCTCGAGCGGCATCGACCAGTAACGGTCCCAAGGCCCGAAACAAGGCAAAATCGCCCGTTGTGAAAAAAGCGACGCCAGGAAGGCAGGGTCCCCTGCCTTCCGCCCCCATCACTCCCCCTCCCCCTCCCCCCCACCCCGCCTTTGCCCTTAACCAACCCGCGCCTGTGCCGGCGGCACCTCGATGGCGACCACGGGGTCCAGGGCATCGATCATCTCGAGCCTGCCCCGCCGCTGGCAGGAAATATAATGTTATACATTATATATAATATGAATATACACACATAAATACAATGTATATAGATCTAAATATATACAGATATGTATCGCATGCGGTTATGTTTAGAGTTCAGTCTTGAACGTATGCATGTTTTGATTGGCCCACGTTCCCAGACCATTGCTTGCACTTGGGTTGCTTACGTATCTTCTAAAAAAATGTCCCTGGATGTCGGTTTGGCGGTTCCGTGCTCGCCGTCGCCGTCCCGTCGCCTCCTCGCCGCCGCCCGTCGCTTAGGCCTGATTGTCGGGCTCCGTACTCGCCGTCGCCACCCCGTCGGCGCCTCGTCGCCGCCCGTCGTCTGGCGCCGCCCCACGACTGCCGAGATACTCCTTTTTAGAAAAACCAATGAAATTCGACCACCAAACACCCCACCGGGATTATCAACTCGGCCTCGCGCAGTGTAATTTACATATGAATTCGCCTCCTTGCATATTCCCCCTGGTGAACTCATACCATCCCAGGCGTGCCGGTATCAGCCCCCCCCCCCTCATCAGTTTCAAATATACCAGGCGGTGCACATGCGTTGATCTAAATTGAGCTTGTGGCGCGAATACTTATCAAAAAAAACCATGCGGACCACATGCGCGCGCCCGCCGCGCGCGCCAAACGAAATCCTTCCAAAATCTCTTGTTTTCGAAACGGTTCCAGCATAAAGACATTGAAACCCCAATGGAATCCAAGAACACTTGGTCAAACAATATCCCGCGCTCTTGCGAATTCCTGAGGAAACCATAAGGGTTTCAACATTCTCATAAAATGCTACCAAAAGAGATTCGCGCGCGCGTGTGGAAATCGATATAACGCCTTTGCGCGCGTGCCGTCGCGAGAACCCTTTGCAATATATTGAACAAGGTACACGCGAACTCTCGGCATCCTAACGATATCCAGATCGAATGTCGAAAGTAGATATACAAAAGCATGGCTTCGCAACATCAGTTTTCACAAATTTGCGCTCGCGCCCTGGCAAACCTTTAAGGCAACCGCAGGCTTCTCACCATTTGCACGGCATTATGCAAACGGGCCTCTCGCGCGGCATGCCGAAATCGTTCACACGCCCTTGCGCGCGTGCTGCGGGGGGGGGGGGGCACGGTCCGTGTCACATAATACCATGCGGGCCACTCTCGCGCGTCGGCCGCGCGCGCACGTCGAACTTTATCCAAAACCTTCATCGCCAACGCGAGGACGCCGTCATCGCCGCTGGCATGATCAGCATCGGCGCCGTCACTGGCCGCGCCGTCGTCGCTGTCAACATCGTAACCAGCATCGCTACTATCATCGTGCCTACCATTGTCGACGCTGCCATGATACCGCGCCCGCCCAAGTCGCCGATTCGCAGTGAAGTGCCTGCTGGGATGTGCCCAGCGGTCAGCGCCACCGCGGCCGCGTTGGTCGCGCCACGGTACCTGGCCGCTGCGCGCGCGTGCTTGGATTGGCAAGGCCGCAGAGATGCACCAGCCAACGCTAAGCACTCATCGCAATCGCCGCCACATGGGTTTTGCAAAACAAGTTGCGGGTGGGTGGATGTGATGTGTGCAAGAGCATGGAGTGTGTCAACACGTTTGACTTGTTACGCAAAATGTACAGCATAGATTGCACCACAGATCCTGCACAGTTTCAACTACAAACATGACCTGCACCACGTCGGTTGTACCACCTCGACTGTGCACCACATCGACTGCACCAGCTAGTTCGCAGCACATACATTGCGCAATCTCAACCGCACAACAGTGATCGCAAGACATAGATGGCACCAGTCTGCACAACAGAGACTGCTTCACAAAGGGTGCAACACCTATAGTGCACAACACAGATTACACAATAGGTATTGCACCACGCAGATTGCAACACACTGGATACCCACCTAGATTGCACTAGAAACACACTGCTTGGGGGCGACGCTTGCTAACATGTTCATTATACGTTTACACATGTGCTTGTGCATGTATTGATGCATGTGTTCATTTATTTATGCTGCCTGCTGCGACGGTCTGAGTTTTTTAACTAGCGTTGTTTCCTGGATCTCGACCCTCGGGGTGTTTTCTTCGGGCCGCGGGGCCAACAAAAATGCATGTGGGACGGAACACTGTCCCAGGGGAAGCGGCCAGGACCTTTGAAGACGCGGACTGACACAGAAAACCAAACAAACAAAAACACCAACAAATACAACAACAAACACAACCAAAAACAAACAACGCAACCGCGGATGCCAATGCGTGGCGGCATGGCAAGCCGGGCTGCCCAGGGACCAGCTCTCGCCGCAGCTCCACGCAAGTCGAGCGAACCGAGCCCCATGCAAACGGGGGAAGGAATAGGGGGCCACCCACGAACCCTGCCCCTATCCTCAAGTCGGGCCTGTCCCCCTACAGGGGGATTTTGGACGAAAAAAACAAATACTCGAAACAAATACTACAAAGATTCCCCAAAATACTAAAAAAGATCGTCCCCAGGCTATTTTTTGATTACTTTTTGAATATTCCCCCTGTAGAGGGACAGGCTCGACTTAACCCTACCCCCCACGATGTCTGAGGGTAGGAAACCGCTGTCCTTCTGGGGGCGTGGAGAGGTTGGGGAGCGAGAGGGGGTGGGTTAGGGGCGCGTGGGGGTGCGGGCAAGGGGCGTCGGACAGGTTGGCACTGGGGGGTGGCTTATTGAAAGATCTGGAGTGCCCCCACCCCCCACGATGTCTGAGGGTGAGGGTGGGGCTCACTTCGCTCGGGAGCTGTGCGCCCCTCTCCGCACGCTGCCCAGCTGCTCCTGGCCCCCCGAGGGAGGGCCACGGAAGGCCGGGAGCAGGACTGAAGGGGCCCGGGGACACGCAAAGGAATAACCACCCAAATCCCAGGATCCCCCATATTTTTCCATATGTTTGGGGGATGTTCGCCTCCCCCCCCCACGTCCCATATGTTCGCGCATTTTCCTGGGAATCGACGATTAATTGTGTCTGTGTATTGTTTTCCCTCCTGAAGGACAGGTCAGAGGTGGGAACCGAGACACCCTCGCGTCGTCAAGAAATCGCGACGGGCGGTGACTTGCTATGGTCACCCTCTGGGGCCCTCACCGGGCCCGGGGACGGTCAAAAAACTGCTGAGGACGATCCCAAAAAACTGCTCAGGGTGAACAGCTGGTCCTGGGGAATTGGTCGAGACCTTCTGGAGCCCGCGCTGTGATTTCCTCGAACAGAAAACCCTTGGAGGTATGGCCTGGGCCCTCGAAAAGTCGACGCCCTAAAGAAGGGGCAGCGACGGGCGATGCGTGCCCCATTGGACAAGCGCGTTCCACTGCTCGCAAAGTAACTACTCGCAAATGGCCTGGATCCGCCGCAAGGGGTTCACGATGTATTGCATAAAGGAAGGCCGGATTTGTTCGGACGTTTGCGAGTACACGTCGTTCATTTCTAATCGTGCTCGTTTCTAATTGTTCCTGGCCCCCTAGTGGCCAGGAAGAGGATCTTGGCCACCCCAAAAAAATCAAAGAGCTTCCGAAGAATCAGAAGTGAACAATGTGCAGGCACTCTGTGCCTAGTGGAACGCGCTGGGGCGACTCGTTCGCGCGGCGCGCCGGCGGCGCGCCGGCTCCCACCCACCCCGTGGCCTTCCCTGCGCGTGTCCGGCAGGGGCCCCAGCGCTGCCGACTCACTCTGCCTCGGTGCCGACCGGCTGTCGGAGCCTGGAAACGGGCACCAGCACCTTATACTATGCAACTGCTGGGAGGTTTTCGTCGGAAGGACGAAAAGGGAATTGAGCCCCATTGGGGGGCTGTTACGCCGGAGTGGGCCTCGGACTAAGCCAGATTGAGCGGGATCAAGCGGGATTGAGCCGGATTAAGCGGGATTGCGCGGGCTGAAGCCGGATTTCGGACCAGGGCAAAAGCAGAAGAGGCAACCGCCGACACTGGTGTTGGTCAGGAGCAAGAAGGAGGGAGCGCCTCCCAGCGCCCCGGCTGCGGCCAGGTTGCTCCCCCCGAGCCAACGGTCGAGAGCGAGACGCCAGGGACGCCTGCCGACAACGAGGGAACGCGTCACCGGAGAGCGGCTGGAGGGACGGAGAAGGGCAAGGAGAAGTGAAGGAGCGACTCCTGGCGCCCCGACGGCAACAAGCCCGCCAGTCCCTCGAGTCCCCAGATCTCCAACGTTTCTCCTCGATGTCGGCCCTTGCGGGCCGTTTTCTGGTCCCAGGGCATTCCCCGCCAGCCTGCCCAGCGGGCCCAGCTGCTGGGCGCCCCTGGCAATATCCAGCGACAGCGAGGGGATTCGAACCCCTGCGGGCAGAGCCCAATGGATTTCTAGTCCATCACCTTAACCACTCGGTCACACTGTCCATGCCAAGGCGCCAGCGACCTCGTCTAACGTTGAGCCAGGACGAACAGCTGTACCCGGAGAAATGCTCCAGACCTCTGGGGCCGCGGCTTGAAAAAGCAGATCCGCGGATGTCAGGGTCAGCGGCTGAAGCGGCTGCGAGTGCCTGCGACGCTTTTTCGTTCCCTGCGAGCGGAGCAGGGGCCGGCCAAACGGTCGCTGGCTCAGACGCGGCCCGCGCCAAGCGCTGCGGCGGCCTGGGAGCCGACGCCGAGCCCTGAGGACCGACGGGGCTTGCGCAGCTCGAACCCGCGCTGAGGACGGCAGAGAGCTGGCACTGCCCAGGCCCTAATCGTGCACATGAAGCCATTAGAGGCCACCCCGTATGATTTTACGAAGGGTGTTGTGGGACCTGTTGGAGCCAGGACCTGGCACATACCAAGAGACGCTACACGAGCAATGATTGGATTCAAGGAATTAGAGCGATACGACTCCCGACTAGACGAAGCTTCGAGGCCAATGCGCAGCACAGGGACGCCGAGCCCCCCTCGGTGTCCCCGACACGGCGCGGCTTCCGCGCAGTGCTGCTCCGCGCTGGGACACCATACGCCGCCAGGCCTGCCGCCGGAGTCAGCAGGGAACGAGGCGGCGCCCCGAGGCGAATTTGTGCAGGCCCCGCGGCCGCCCCTCCTCACGCGCCCCCGAACCGCCCCGCCACCCGCGGCGCCCGCTGAGGCGGGCGGGCCGTGCGCGCGGCAGCGGCGGGCAGAGCGCCCTTGGGAGGCGGGGACGCGGCCCGCGCCTGGTGCGGCAGGGCATCGAGCGGCGGGGGCTGGTAGGACACGCTGCGGCCCCTCGCCTGCGCTCCGCACGAGGGCGACACCGCCGCCAGGCCGGAGCCCGGCGACCGCGGAGACCACCCAGCGGCCGCCGAGTGCCAGGCGAACCTCTGCGCGGGCGGGACCTCGGCGGGCCGTGGCGACGTGGGCGAGGCGGGCCCGCCGCGCGCGGCGCGCGGCGGGCCGCCGCCCGGCAGCGGCACGGAGGACCAACCAGGACTGTGGCCTGCGCAGCGCGGCGCGCCCAGCGGCGCGCCGGGCGCCGCGGGGGCAGTGCGGAGGAGCAGCGCCCCGGGCGAGCAGGGAGCTCCAGGGTACGGCGCGGGGGAGTGCGCCTCCCATGCGGGCGGCGGCCGGTAGGACAGGCTGATGCCCGGCGAGGCCCCGGCGCGCGCCTGGCACGGCGCAGGCGGGGCTAGGCTCGCGCACCCCGCGCCGCACCCCAGCGGTCGTGGAGGCCGTGGCGTCGGGGGCGCGCGCCAGTTGAGGCAGCGCGCAGCGTGGTCCTGGCCACTGGCATGCCAGGCGGCTGCGGGCGGCTGCCAAACGCACGGCGCGCCGCCTGGGATCGGCGCGGTGGCCCACCCGGGGCGGCAGCCCATCTGCGCCCCTGGCGTAGGCGAGGCGCTGCGGTGGCGGTGGGCCGCCGACGCCAGTGGCACTTGCACGCCCGGGGGGCACGCCGGCACGGGGCGTGGCGAGAGCTCCGCAGGCACTGCGTGGGCCGCGGCCGCCAGGGGCAGCGGCGAGCACGGAGCGGCTGGCGACGGCGGCCCAGCCGCCGACAGCGCCCGCCGCGCAGAGCTGCAACGAGTCTGGGGGCTGGCACCGCGCGGCGCGGGCGCGAGGGCCGGCGGCTGCGGAGGCCTGCTGGAGCAACCCTCGGGTCCGCCGAGCTTCTCCACAGCCTCCCGGAGTCCAAGCGAGCTGGTCTCGTCGATGGCCTCGGCGATGACCCAGAAGAGGTTTCGGGCCCTTGCCTCCTCGACCCTCTCGTTGCGGGCCGACCGCACCCCCCCCGCGGCGCAGGCGCGCAGGAGCGTGCCCATCTTAGCGATGTGGGCCGAGACCTTCTCGACGACTTGCTCCTGGGCGAGCTCCCTGTACAGCGGGCCGATGTCGCCTCCGGCGGCAAAGACCTGGAAGATCTTCATGTGCCATCGGCTGACTTCGTCGCGGTACTTCTCCCACACCGCTAAGAGCCTCAACCAAGGCCCGCCGAACACAGCAGGTGCCGCACCAGCGCCGCCACCCATCCCGCCCCGAGCGGACAATGCGAAGGTCGCCAGGATCTCGAGCGCGGTGAGCCCTAAACCAGCGGTGTCCAGCTGTGTCTGGTACTGCTTGCACAAGTGCGGGTTGCACGCCACCTCCTCGGGCCCGAAGAAGCTCATCAGGAAGGAGCTCGGCGGCCAGTAGCGGCAGTCGCCCGCGACGTCGGCGTGCTGCCACGCGGACGGCCAGGTCGTGGAGTCCACGGCGAGGCCGAAGTCGATCAGCCAGAAGGAGGCCCGGTGCGCCGCGTCCTCAGCACTGGCACACGCGCGCAGGCAGCCCCCGTCGAGAGCGTCGGAGATGAGGACGTTGTGCGAGTTCACGTCCCTGTTGGACCAGAAAACAAACGACACCAGCCTGGGGCCTAGCGTATACCAGGAGATCTGGCGTGGTTTTTTAGATGCTGTACGCTGCGGCCCCCGCTCAGCCCTAGCTCAACATGGAGGGCCGTATACGTGGGGTGGTGTCGCTTGTGATTTGGCCGACCTGTGCCAGGCATGGGGGGCCATCCTCTCGAGCGTCGGGCCCAGCTGCCGGAAGAGCTGCGCGGCGAGCGCGCAGCCGCAGTGCGCGGCCACGGCACTGTCCTTTGTGGATGCCCGGAATGGGTACGGAAAAGATGGGTACAATGCCCAACAACAAATGTTGCCCCAAACCAACAGCGGCCGCTGTTGGGCAGGCGGCCTTCTGCTTCAAATGGACACAGGCCGCGGCGGCGCGGACAACGAGCCCTGCTCAAAATAAACAGGAACTGCTGTTGGGTGTACCAGTTCTTTCCATACCCGTCTCGATCGTCCCGACGTCCTGGCCGAGCACGGGCGGGCGCCTCAGGAAGGCGTCCAGGCCCTCGCCGGGCACCCGAGACATGGCCGTGCGGACGAGCCAGCCGCCCCGCCTGCTCGGCTCCACCCGGTGGCCCAGGTAGCGGGGCACCCGCATGGCCGGCGGACCGGACCCGTCTGGGGTGGCCAGCGCCTGGAACCGCTCCTGGGGAAGCCAACACGATGGGCCTGTTTTCCACCACCACCACAAGGTGGAAGGGGGAGCGGGTCCTCCTCCTCCTCCTCTTCATCCTCCTCCTCCTCCTCCTCGTCATCCTCCTCCTCCTCCTCCTCATCAACCTCCTCATCCTCCTCCTCCTTCCCCCCCCCAACTTATTGTGGTGGTGGAAGCGATACCGCTGATCCACGGGCCTCGCCAAGGGCGTGTTCTGACCAGCATCTCCAGGCGAGTCCAGCAATGGCGACGATGAGCCTGCCGGGAGGCCAACGCGAAGGCCAGAATGAGTGCAGGGCAGCGGCATCGGTGCCTTTTCCTCCCCTCAGCTCCAGCAGCGCAGCCTCGAACAGTGCCTGCTGCAGGTCCTGCTGCGTGCGGCACAGGACATCCTTCAACGCCACGCTCTGAGCCTCACCGCCGCCGCGCCCCGCGCAGGGGCCCACGCCACTGCGGGTGCCAGGCGTCTCTGGGCCCTCCACCACCGCGCCGGCCCAGACCTGGCTGAATGAGCCCCGGCCCAGCACGCTGCAGTAGCGGAAGCGCCAGCGCCCGATGGCCACCTCTGGGGGGACGCAAAGGTACCGACACCGCTACTCCCTGAACCTCTCGACTGGCGCGTTCTGGCTAGGATTTGGAGGCGAAACCAGCCGCGGCAACCATGAAAGGGTAGCCGTAGCGGAAGAAGGAAGAGGAGGAGGAGAAGGAGGAGAAGGAGGAGGAGCAGGAGGAGGAGGAGCAGAAGGAGGAAGAGGAGGAGGAGGAGGAGGAGGAGGAGGAGGAAGATGAGGAGGAAGAGGAGGAGGAGGAGGAGGAGGTATGTAGAAGGAGGAGGAGAAGGAGGAGGAGGACGAGATGTGAAGGTTGGAGAACTCATACGCCAGCAGACGCTGGTCAACCGACGAGCAGGATTTCAGGATCATCGAGGGACAGAGCCACCAGTGAGCGTGCCTGTACCACCCATTGTGCAGCCAGGCTCAGGGCCCCCTGCCCCCCAGCCGACGGTCATCTCGCCCCCACCACTTTTCCCGCTCAGCTGGAAAATCATAAAGCCACCTGCACGGAGGCAGATTTACGTCCCTAATTTTTTCTCTGGCCTCAGAGGGTCTGGGAACGTCCAGGATTGGGTCGCGTGGGTCCTGGAGTCTGACCCGGCGCGCCGAGTGTGCTGAGCACAAATGTGATCAGAGATCCCGTGTTTGGCTATCTATTGCGCTCCGAAGCGGTGGACTTTGGGAGTCGGCTGGTGCGGGCGGGATGCATGGCTGGTGTTGTTGCTGGGCCTCCATGTGAGACATGGTATGTTGCTCGACACCGTGGTTCAGGGCAAAGGACCGACGGTGGTAGGACCAAGTCTCCTAGGCCCTTGAGGTTATTTGAGCAGCGATGGGGGCTCAGAAACAATGGTGAGCGTGAACATGCTCAGCTTTCTCTAGGCAATCGCCTGCTGCGAACAAGGCTTGGAATACCTGCCCTGTGTTGGCGCTTCGGGGCTTGTATTATGGAACATCCTGCTGAGCCTGGGGGGCCTCCAGAGGCCACGAAGTGGTGGCATTTGGACCAGGTTGAGCGCTTATGTAGGCTGGGACACACACACACACACACACACACACACTCTCACACACACACACACACCAGATCGCCATCTACCAGTGCGCACTTGGGGCCCCCACCCGCAAACCTACCAATCTCTTTGTCATCAACGCCCTGGCTTCTAGAAGAGGGGGAGATTACCTGCACACGCAGAATGGGACACATGATCTTGAGAGGGTGGGATGGGCAAGGTAATTAATCAGAGGAACGCTGCTACGAAAACTGACCCTTCGGAGCTTTGTAGAGTTTTCGGGACCGCCCTTATTCAGGAGTCCTGGTTGCGTTTCCCCTGTCTATTTCAGCAGAGCGGCCCCACCATGCTTAGGTTGCACCAGGTCCCAGCCATGTTCCAGGATGTCCCGTGCTCGGCACCATCGACCTCCATAGTGACCCCACACCCACACACACACGACTGGACACACGAAGAGTCCAGCAATAATCACCTCTATACGACAAGAGGATGACGGACGAAGTTCTCTTACTCTGAGGAAATACCCGATCTAGACGACCAACAGAATGGCATCTCCTTCTCCTCCTCCTCCTCCTCGTCCACGTCCTCGTCCCGCAGGAGGGGGGACAGAACTGGAGGTTGGCTCTCGGTCGGCTGCTTGGCTGCTCTCGCCTCTCCTGGATATCCAGCGCCGCTCTTGGTGTTCGCCAGGCTACGCGCGCCGCTTGCGGCAGCAGCTATCGGCCACGCGCAGAGGGGGGGTAAGTGGAGGGGGGAAGGCTTCGTAGAAGCACCCCTGCTTCTTAGAAGCGGCGGGCCTTGTTTGTAGATGTAAGGCCCGCGCCTTCTAAGAAGCAGCCTCCTTCTAAGAAGCCTTCCCCCTCCCCCTAATTACCCCCTTGTGCGCGCCGCCAAGACTAAGAGTGAAGAGCCCCTCGGATTCTCGACCCGTCAAGGCGAGCCTGGTGTCATTTCCCCACAGGCTGTGGTGTCAGACTCGTTGACAGTACCAGACGTGGTCTGGGAAGGGCCAAGGCCTTGCACAGTTTGCGTCTGCGCTGGAGGTTCAATCAGTGAGGGCTGTGTTTAAGCCAGGAGGGCGCAGATGCTTCACTGACATGCTGCTGCTGCTGCTGCTGCTGCTGCTGCTGCTGCTGCTCGTTGCCGCCACATTACCACTGATTACGCTCCTTTCCCATCTTGCCCTCATCCTGTCCCGCGGGCGTCGCACCCTTGCCCGAAACCCGAGAAGAGAGAGAGAGAGAGGGAGAGAGGAACTAGAGGAGATGGAGGAGGAAAGAACAGGAGGAGAGAGAGAGAGGAACAAGAGAAGATGGGGGAGGAAAGGACAGGAGGAGATGGAGGAGGAGATGGAGGAGGAGATGGAGTAGAAGATGGAGGACAGGAGGCTTCCCTCCTCGGAGCCTCCGCCCCCGGCGCGCCGCCCTGGGAGTCGGGCGCTGCGGGCGGCGGCCGCCCCGCGCCCTGGGGCGCCAGCAGCAGCGGCGCGGGCGCCGGGCTGGCGGCGCCGAGGCCGCCGCTGCCCCGCGCCGAAGCCAGCGCGTGCGCGGTGCCCGCGCGCGCGAGCGCCGCGGCGGCCATCGCGCCGCCAGCCGGGCCCCGCCGCCGAGCTGCCTCAGTGGAGCAGTTAGGATCGGACGCTCTGCTGCTGTGCTCTGCCTCTGGGGGCCCTCGCGGCCAAGAGGGGGGCGTCCAAGAGGGGGGGCGCAGATCATGGCCAGCGGCACATGCGCGGCGGCCCAAGGCTCCACGAAATATGGGGAGATCTCATGGCCCCCGCCATGTCCACCCCCCCCTGGTCATCACCCCCCCTTCTTTGCCGCCCCCGACCGTCACGGAGGAAGCACCGGTCCCCCCAGGCAGGGGTCGAGAACTCCAGGGGCCCACGCGACAAGATCATGAGAGTCGGGGGGGGCCGGGAGTGCGAGCCGAGGTCAGGGCGCCGCGCGGCGCGGCGGCCGGCGGGGTTCGGAGCCCGCCTCGCGCGAGCGCAAGGCGTCCGCCCGGCCCATCGCGCACGGCCCCGCCTGGAGCCCCGGGCTTGAGCAGAGAGGCTGAGGGGCACAGACCCCCGCCTGGAGGAACCCAGGAATATTCACCACCACCACGCCGATTCCTCCTCCCTCCTCTGCCCTCCTATTCCTTCCCTCGCTCCTGGGAGAGGGAGGGGGTGAGGGAGGTGGTGGTGGTATTGTACATGTTTGGGCCCCGTACGCCTGGAGGAACCCAGAGTTCCGAGGCTCCGACAAAAAATGGAGCGGCGGGTTTGGTGCTACTTTCTGCATCCAGGGGCCCTCAACGACGGGCCCCGGGAGCGTCAGGAAAACACTCAGGACGAAAAACCAGCCCTAGGGAAGTGGTCCAAATCTCCGGGGGAGCGCCAAATGTCTTCTGGGAATGGACAGGCGGCGCCCACCGCAAAACCGCCCCATCCGTGTCAATCTGCGGCCCCAGGGGTCTCGACCACTTCGCCGCGGGGGCAGCTTTTCGTCCCGGGCCCACTTCTGAACCTGGCGGCACGGACGTCGAGTGTCGACACTGGGGAACAAACGCCAGATTGGTAAAATCGGCTACACGCAGGAGTGACCCTGGGTAAGAGTGACCTTTGGTGCGCGGCTTTTTGGGGACCGCGGGGAAACCAAACCTGGGCGCGCATGCAGCTGATACTGTTTCGTTTTCGGCCACCTGGGGACCCATCTGTGCCCACACTAACGGTCACTCCTGTGAAAGGTCACTCTTACGTCTAGTCGAGAAAATCATGGTGTCGGAGAGCTGGGACGCACCCTGGGAGAGGACCGGGGTGGCGCGGCATCGGCACCATGGCCCCCGCCCCCAAGCTGGGCCCCCAAGCTGGCCCCCAGCTTTTCGTCCCAGGCCCACTTCTGAACCTGGCGGCACGGACGTCGAGTGTCGACACTGGGGGACAACCGCCGGATTGGAAAACTACGCTACCGAGGAACCCCACATACTTATATTATGGCTGGAGTGATGATAGCTGAAGTGAAGCATGTGAGAATGATGTTGGTGGCCGTTGCCCCGCCGATACCGTTGGTGACGCCACTCAAAAGGAGAGGTGGAAGGGGAGAACCGCCGCGCCACCCTCTATGGTGTCCAGAAAGTGACTCGTCTACCAGAACCCCTGCGCATCCTCGATGGTGTCGAGAAAGTGCAACGCCTGCTATGCCCTGGACTACCGTCGTGCATAGCGGCCGCGCTGAGGGACCACCCCCTGCGCACCCCCTATGGTGTCGAGGAAATGCCACGCCTGCTATGCCCTGGACGACCGTCGTGCATAGCGGCCGCGCTGAGGGACCACCCCTGATAATGCTCAAACTGCTTGTTGTGTGCGGCGCTAATTATTTGAAGCGACGGCGGATCA